GGAGCAGTACTTCGAACCGTACCGAGCGCTATTAACGCAACCTGGTCCGTAGCACTGACGAGGATAGTCGGTCATTAAATGCGCATTGGGCGGCTGTTCGATGTCGGAACCGGAGTCGCGACGTCGCCGACGCCCCCGAGTTCTAAAACGCCACCTTAATCATCCGGCGCCGGTCGAATTCGACTCACCCTCCGAAATTCACGCAGATCCTCTGCTTGCAACGCTCCTTCTGACGTCCGCCTCCGTGCTTGTACTTCCGCAGGCACACGTCGCACCGTCCGCAATCATCCGTCCGATAGCATCCCATGCAATCGCCGCACTTCTTATTCTTCTTATCGGACTTGGTCTCGCCGCGCTCTCTGCGTTTCCGCACGCGGTACTCGTCCTTGTTGCCGGTGTCGTCGCGTTTGGTTCGCCAGCGCGTCTGCAAGGTGGAGTCCTCCTCGATGCAACGTACGCAGAAGTACTGCTTGATGTGCTTCGCCTCGCGTTCCGAAATTCCGATGCAGTCGCCGTGGTACCACTCCTCGCACGCGTCGCATGCTATCATAAATCGCGAACTGTCCGAAGAGCGACAGATGCAGTAGGCCTGTCCGTCCTGCCTTAGAAGCGTGTCGATTTTCGATTGACGTTCGGGTAGCAGGAATTGCTTCGCAATTTCTTCCCTCTGGAAGATTTGGGTGATCAACCCTGAACGCCCACTTAAATGAAAACTTACCGAAATGTCTCGTTTTCGAGACATTTTCCCACAGAACAATTAACAACAAATTACAAAGGAAAAATTAGGTTAGAAATCCGTGGCAATTAACATACTGGGGACATTTTTTATACTGGATTTGCAAGGTACCACTCCTCGCACGCGTCGCATGCTATCATAAATCGCGAACTGTCCGAAGAGCGACAGATGCAGTAGGCCTGTCCGTCCTGCCTTAGAAGCGTGTCGATTTTCGATTGACGTTCGGGTAGCAGGAATTGCTTCGCAATTTCTTCCCTCTGGAAGATTTGGGTGATCAACCCTGAACGCCCACTTAAATGAAAACTTACCGAAATGTCTCGTTTTCGAGACATTTTCCCACAGAACAATTAACAACAAATTACAAAGGAAAAATTAGGTTAGAAATCCGTGGCAATTAACATACTGGGGACATTTTTTATACTGGATTTGCAAGGTATTTGCATATTCTGAATTTGGGGAATTACTCAGCTTTAGAACACTCTAAAAAAGAGTTACACAGCTTTAAAAACACTGTTATTTTATATTAAAATTGATTATTAATAACGGAATGTTTAGTAGATAAAATGTACTTAAGTAGAGCTGATGAACTAATTAAAGTAGATCAAATGTAATACAGTAGAGCTACTGATCTGGTCAGAGGGGAGCCCTATCCCTTTTTTGTACCTCAAGCAAGAAATGTGTTTTGAGTTGATAATTGAAGCATTGCAATTGCTAGAATGGGCGACAGTCCTACAAATACTGAAACTGTGTGGAACAATCGCAAGCCAACCATGGAGGGATGGCTCTGCAAGTGGACGAATTGTTTCAAAGGTTACCAACGGCGATGGATCGTTTTGCAAGACGGACACCTGTCTTATTTCAGATGAGATTCTCTGGTAATTGCAATTCTGAATGTAACCCGCTCGACGAGGAGTTAAAGACAAGCTTAAAACCCAATGTTTTGTGCCGGGGGGGTGGTGATGACAGTGCGAAAGGTGAGAACTGTGCATACATTCGTTTTAAGCATGACTCATTGCAGGAAACAAGCTGACACGGAACACAAATGTCGCGGTAGCATGCCCTTACGTGGCGCCTCGATTCGCACAGAAGATGCCCGCACTTTTTTTGTTACATCGAATGGTGATACGCAGACGTTCCACTTGAAGGCGGCGTCGCGAGAGGAATGTCAACAATGGATAACCGCACTTGAACTTGCCAAGGATTGAGCCACAAGAATTTTGTTTATTATTATTTATTGCATCTACTCTCAGGGATATACAGATCTTAACTTTGACTGTACAAACAATTTTTCCAATTAAAGAATCTTCTATTTGTTTAGTTTAGGGATTTTGTTTACATAAAAAAATAGCATGAATACCTCTTCGCCTATTTGTTTGATCATCATAGTCCGATGTTTCCCTGGAAATTTAGTGCGAGAGCACACTGATAATTATGTTACCAATTGTGTAATAATAATAATGATAGGTTCCTCCACAAGTTTCTATTCAGTTTGAGAAGTTTAGAAGACTGACTTGCCCTTTGTGGTGTTTTTCATAATATAATAATACAAGGTGGCCATTTGAAAACGAAACAGAGCCTATTTTGGGAACCTCAAAATATCTACGAAAAAATCCTCGGACCCGTCAATTTTTTATTCAAGGGGGAACAATTTTTTTTTTGCTAGTTTCGCCCCCCTGACGAAGGTGACAAGCGCCCCCAATTTTTTAAATCGAATGGGGGGTCGAGTGATAGGTACCTTATTTTGAAGGTATTTGTATGTAGATTATGAACCCTTAAGTTTTAAATCGCTACTAATTTATCTAGCCGATACAGGGGCTAATAAAAGTTATAAAAAATGTTCTTCTACATTCTGAAGGAAACGACCGATCAAAAGTGAGTTGCTGTCGAGTCACCTTTGGAATTTTTGTTTTATTTTGTTTTAATTTGAACTTCCAAAGGCGACTCGACAGCAACTCATTTTTGATCGCCCGCTAGCACTTTAATAGTTATTTGTATACCAAGGCTGCGAAATGATTGTTTGGTGTACCGAGAGAATAAGTGTTGGCGTAGGCAATCAGATTTGTTAGAGGAATTACACAGTACACATTTAGGTATACAGGGTGTCTTTTTGGGAGCTTTAGTTAAAAGTTTCTGGGAAAGTAAAATAGGTAGGTTTTTGAAAATTTGTACTTAGGAGTTACTCTGAAGGCCGAATCGATGTAAAATATTTTCAAAATGGCCGCACTTCCGGAAACACCGGAAGTAGATAGTAACTTCGTTATTTTAAATGGCAACCCCTATTTTTTATTGCATTTTTGAATTCTACGTGAAATTTCACTTCTTTTGATACCCAGGTTACTATCTACTTCCGGCGTTTCCGGAAGTGCGGACATTTTGAAAATATTTTACATAGATTTGGCCTTCAGAGTAGCTCGCCCTAAGTACAAATTTTCAAAAACCTACGTATTTTACTTTCCCAGAAACGTTTAAAACTTTAAAGCTCCCAAAAAAACACCCTGTATAGAAAATGAAACAGTTAGCCAAACGCTATTGTTACTGGAAAAACATTGATAAAGACATTGAAAACCAGGTAAAATCTTGTCGCGAGTGTCTAAAAAGTACGAATGCACCAACACAAATTACATAACGCATAAGTGGGAATACCTAACAGAATATTGGGACCGTATTCATGTGGATTATGCAGGGCCGATAAATTACCAGCGTTATTGAGTTTGCATCGATGCAAAATCTAAATGGGCGGAAATCGAAATTCTCAATGAACATCCTACATTTCTTTATTTTACATTGATTATCCCCCCCTAAGTGGGCCGATAGGCAGGTATATTTCACGGACCGGTTTTTGGTTCCCCATCCACCCCTGCATCACTCAAAATAGAAAAATACTTATATAGTTTTTCTTAACTTTATTGTTTTTTTTATATTGAGTATTATTATTATTTGAGCCATAAATTGTTCTATTGTGTATTGTGTTATAATCTTTTCTGTAATCATTTATTAAATGATTGGGTTAAGTGAAAGAGCAGAATTGACTAACTGAACTTCGCCCATTAAGTTGCATTACTTACTATAATTTTGAAATATGCCATTTAGTTTTTTTTTACTGTAATTGTGTGTAATGTAACTTAATAAAAGACATTATTATTATTATAGGAAGTTACGAATTCGTCTTGATTCCATGAAACAAATGCTTCAAAATAAAAATAAAGGTACTACAGCACACCCCTTTCCTTTAGGGACCCATCTGTAAACCACACGAGTAGGGAATCGGATCAGAGCGTTTCCTTTTAGGAAAACTGATTAGTTTCCAAGAGACTAAACCTATTGAAGCTGAAACAGCAGAAATTTCTTTGAACATTTTTTGACACTAGAAAGTATGTTCACCCTGTATGAAATAGAGTTGGCAGCATTGGTCAAGTTTGACAGGTGCGTATGTTGGCAGTTCGGAGAATGACATGACAATCATCAGAAATAAAAATGGAAGACGTGTCTCGCGAACGTCCCTCTTAAATAAACATTCCAAGTGTTAAAAATGGGTGACAGTGCGAATTCTAAAACTATTTCTAGCCATGGCGAGCCGTCGATGGAAGGCTGGCTATGTAAATGGACGAACTATTTAAAAGGTTACCAACGTCGGTGGTTTGTTTTGCAAAATGGACATCTGTCATATTTCAGGTGAGCCCCTCGCAGCAGTTGCGATTAACCCAAAATAACCGTTTTTTTAAACATGCATCAACTCATTTAACACACGTGACCCCCCTGGACCTTGATCACCACCCTCCCCCTCTCATCACTGTGTGTATCGCACTCGTACTTAAACTGAATGTGTTGTGCAGGGCTGAAAACAATGGCGGTGTTCCCACACTATCAATACGAAGACGAAGGCGATTCAAGGGGTAAGTCTTAGGCCACGAGCCCTGCACAGACATTCCGTTTGTCCGTACGTCACCGGTCGCCTCAAAACTCGAACTCGACATTACAGGAACCAGGCGGAAATGGTGCACACGTGTCGCGGGAGCATATCGCTACACGGCGCCCTGATTCACACGGTAGACGCCTGCACCTTCGTGATATCGAACGGCGGCACGCAGACGTTTCACATTAAGGCGTCGTCGGAGGTCGAACGTCAGCAATGGGTGACCGCGCTGGAACTTGCCAAAGCGAAAGCCATGTAAGTAAAATTTGTAACCTCCCCCCAAGGTACGGTATCATGGGCCACCACTTCTTTGACAGTTTGTCTGTCAAATGTTTTTTGATTCAGTTTGAAATGTCTTAGAGATGTCAGAATCTTTTACAGTCGCAACATGGAGTCGGAGGAGGACGAGGAGGCGGACGAGGCCTCGGGATCGCCGGAGGAGTGGTCGGGCGTCGTTCGCGAGCTGCAGGCGTGCCTCGACGACCTGCAAACGTGCTCGGAGTTGATCAGCAAGCACGGCGCCTCTCTACAAAGGGCCTTGGGCGAACTCGAAAGTACAGTCGATCCCGATTTGGCGCAGGGCAAATCGAAGCTCGTCAACGAACGCGCGACCCTATTCCGAATTGCTAGTAACGCGATGATAAACGTAAGACGACGGCTGGAGGGGAACGTTTTCACTTTGCGATTTTTAGGCGTGCAACGGTTATCTGCAGACGGCGACGACGCACGGGCACAAGTGGACGCGTCTGCTGCAGCACGAGCGCGAGCAGCGCCAGCGGCTGCAGGAGATGGTGGAGACATTGGCGCAGCAGCACTCGCGTTTGGAGCAGGCGGCAAACGCGCACGCTCACAGGCCAAGTAAGCTTTTCGGAATTCTTACTCTCCGATTTAATGTGTCAATAATTGTCTTTAATTGGCTTTGATTGCGGCCAATAGAAGGGAATTAAGATTGCTTTATTAGAGTTATCATGTTTCCCGTCTGCAAATTTTTGATAAGACCGAGCCATTGTCAAAGCTGGACGCATGTGCCCTAATCATTTTTGACATTTGGCAATAAATTTGAGTGATAAAGTCATTCGTACAAATTGAATGG